CACTTAGACATCGACTGAAAAGGGCAAGAAAATTATCTGAAATAAAAATCTATATCATAAAAACTAGTAATGGCTAACATTATATTTGAGTTGATCTTTAACTTTGTAGAATTAAATATTTCAAAAAAACATTTTCATAATAAACTATCTTGTGATTCTTGCTTAATTGATGCAAAAGAATCTATTAATATCTTTCTGATATCATCTAATTGACTTTCAAAAAGGTGGAATATATCTACAATTATACTATAATTTAAATGAAACCCTAGTTCAATCAACTCAGTAAGTCTATCTTTAACAACTTTGATCTCAGGTTTGGTCCATCCTGGTGGTTGCACTGGTAGAAATAGAATTAAAAGTAATTCTTGTATTACAAGATCATTAACATCCTCACATATTTCAAAATAACCGATTTCTTTATACAGAAGTACTAGATCTTTTCAGATCAAGATTGATCTCACAATTACATTGAGTTGGCGGTTATTTTCATGTCCATCCTTCGGGGGATACTCTTCTGATGAATTATTTTGCATATCGTTCTTGGTAGAAATGGTACAAATTTTTTGCATAATATTAGATCCTTGATCTCATCATAATTCTTTTCTAAAACAGTTGGTGCATAATTAATAGTATGAGGACCTCCAGAAAGAAAGTGAAAGAGCTCCATATCATTGCCTTTCAAGTACAAATTAGCTTTGAATAGATTAGAAGCTTCTGTTAATAAAAACATATAAACGAAGAGTGGCAAATTACTTGGCCATGGAATTATTTTTTGTTGCAAAGTTCTCATTCTGTCTATATCAATTTGTTCTGTATCATGTGCAATCTTTAATTCAAGAAGTTTTGTGTCATAATCACCATTGTGGATATGAATGCGCTGAGCAAAGTATCTCAAAAGAATTCCACCTTTAGTAATAATAGTACGAGCAACTTCAACAGAGACAAATATGGGACCTAATCTAATAGCATTAAAAAGACAATATGCTCTCCCAAATTGAAAAATAATCCATTCTGCCTTTGCTTGAGAGTCTTTACAAATAAATGACTATCTTTTGCAACTTATAATTAAATTCATAAGATTTCTAACATATTTAAAGATATATATCATAACTTCATTGGGTAATTCATATTGAAAAAAATTTTTCTTGTTATAATTCATAGTTAAATAATACGAAAGCAAAGGATCAAACCCTAATACTAATAATTTTAAAGATTAGAACTCGATTAAAGTTATGCTAAAAATATCGAGAGGATATTTAATGTTAAACAGGATTTTCTAAATATCCATTCAAGATGAGCATTACCAAATTTGAAAAATTAATTAAACTTTAAGACTAGAGGTGTGATCTGTATATAAATAAACTGTAGTTTATTGTAAAACTGTAGTTAACTGTAGTTTTAAAATAAACTACAGTTTATTTATACGTATTGTAATTCACAGTTCGCATCTCTATTTGAGACAAGTGAAATATACAAATTAGTAATCATATTAATTTAAGTTATTAACAAAAATTGTGTAAAGCTGCACAAAGAATGATTCGTAATAAAAATAATAAAAAAAATATTGACACCTAGATTCGGATTAATTAAAAAGCTGCTATGTTTTTAAGTTGACTAGAAATTCGTTAACAATAATCATAACTGAATGGAATTACTTACAAATAAATGAAATTCGTTAACAATAATCATAACTGAATGGAATTACTTACAAATAAATGAAATAAGATAATAGATTTATCCTTAATTTAATATTAGAGTATTTAATGATCTTATTTTTGGCTTAATTTGTATTTGAATAGCAACAATTACCAATAAGTTTTTTTTTGGATCAAAGTATAAGAGAACCCTTCCAGCAATCTGAAAAATTTATCAGAGGGTCCCTTATACTATATTTGATCCTTTTTTTGCCTCTATCAATAAGTTTTTATAAACAATGAAATCTAAACGTCTCCTCTTGAAGTAAAAACAATTTTATTTTCTACATTTATTAAAAAGAAATTCGATTTATTTTTTTAAAAAAACCATATAGGCAAAATGAATAACCAAAATCAACCTCTTTATTTGGTTGATGAATTATCCTTTTCTCCAAATAATAGACTTTCAGTACCTCATATTGACAGAAGAATTAATTACAAAGAAAAGGAAGGTAAAGTCCAAGATTTCCACAAAACCACCGAATGCATTTCTGATTTACAGAATGCAATATATTAAAGAGCTTCATAATAGAGATTATCGATTGCCTATGAGAAATATTTCTTCCACCATAGCTAATTCATGGAAGAACGAGTCTGAGCTTGTTATTGAGCATTACGAATATATCGCAAAAGAAGCAAATAAGATTTTTAAAAAAAGTTTCCGAAACCACCCACTCCTCAAAAAATCACTGTTTTATGCAATTTTTATAAAAAGAAGACTGTTTTATACCATTCTCAACAAAAAGACAGATTTTTATAAAAGTAATTCTCACAATTTTTTTCCAACTTATGATCAGCAATTTTTGTTGCCAAACAATTTGTGGTCGACCAACTTTTATTACAATAACCAACTGCCAAAAATTTCTAATTTATATAATATTAGCCATTACTAGTTTTTATGATATAGATTTTTATTTCAGATAATTTTCTTGCCCTTTTCAGTCGATGTCTAAGTG